GTAGCCACCCTCCAGAAGGAAGGACAGTGGTCAGCACCAATTCAGAGATGATTTGAGGCTCTACAGCCGAGTGATACACAAATTAGTTACATTTTTGTTAATTATTAAGGTACTTAAATGCATTTTTAAGATTTAACTCCTGAGTTTAATGTCACTTTAAATGTATTACTTAGGGATGCATCTATATATATCGGCCGAAAAAATGACACTTTTGGCATAATGCCGAAAGTGCCATTTTCTGGCTGATACTGCGGTGTATCCGTGTATTCTCTCCTCCCTGCTGGGCGCTGTTCTGTGTCCCAGTGGGGAGGAGAAAAACTGTGACAGCTGGCTGACTGCTGCGGGAGGAGAGTGCTGTGAGCGACCGAGGTCTCTCCTCCCACACCGCTCAGCCTCCTGTCACAGATCGGCAGAGCGGTGTGTGGGCAGAGACAGCCAGCGCTGTCACAGGAGGCTGAGCTCTCCCCACCGCACCGCTCGCTCAGCCTCCTGTGGCAGCGTGTCAGAGAGGAGAGCAAGTGCAAACACTCAAAGATCAGTGATCGCTGAGTGTTTGTATGTAATTGAGGGCAGAGTATGGTTACTATATCCTCAATTATGAATGAATGGGAAGTGATCTACATCACTTCCTGTTCATTCATAATTGTGGTTATAGTAAACATACTCTGTCCTCATGTTATGAATGATCAGGAACACTCAGAGGATTCCTGTTCATTTATAACAGGGGCTGCAGAAAAAGAGATTGAGGACTCTGTGTTCTCAATCTCTTTTTCCTTTTTAAAAGCTCATTTTTTTTATTTCGGTTTCGTTTCGGTTTTGAAATTTGCATTTCGGTGCACCTCTAGTATTACTACAATATCTGTATTAAATGTGTATTTATTAAATAAAAGCGTTATACAAAAAATGTACAAAGTATATATACACTTCATAAACTAGTGAACTAGTTTAGTGTGACTTTAAGCACCTTATTAACTCCCTCCTTTTAGCTAGTTTGTCATTTTAAAACAAAACATTACAAATGATTTTATATGTAAAAATTTAAGTGGGGTATTATGCACATATTTTAAATAGGAAATTGCAACTACAGTAGCAGTAACTGTTTAAAGTGCAATCAAAACAGGTAAACAAAAGCTGCTTCCTATATTTTTCTTCCTTTCATCTTTTAAATACAAGGAAATCCTTGTTTGCCTCCCTCCAAAATAACGAAAAAAAAGTAAAGAATGTAGGTATCACTTCAATATCAGTTTATTATCAGAGTTTGTTGAAAAATGAATAAACCTACAATTGATTTAGAAGATATGTTCTGGTCCAGAAGGGGTAAACTCTGCCAGTAGTGAAGTGGCTTAAGCCCAATTCCAGGCAGATATAAACAGCACACCAGTTAATGCACTTAGGTCTTCATTAAAAAATCATTGATTGCATTGTAAATGCAACTTGTGTAAGCATCCCTATGCAGCAGCACTCAGATTAGGAGAATGAGGGCAATCTTTAGGAGAGACCAGAGGGAACAGAGTGATGACTCATTAGTGTGCTGCTATTTCTTTGGCTGTTATGTGCTTTTTTAACAGGGGTATCTGTATCAACCACTTGTGCTGCATCACAGTGCAATATAAAGTTTTAAGGCTGGCTTCACACCTATGTGCTGTGGTAACAAATAATCCATAGTGCAGTTATTTTAAGAGGAGCACCCAAACATACCTTGCCAGTGCACATCAGCCCACCACAATGGACAGATGTAAACCATCTGTGTGTTGTGCTGTGTTGTATTGAAAAAATGGTGCATGCCTGGTTTTATGGTCATTGTGGTGTATTGGTAGGCCATTGAAAATGAATGAATGTAATGCACATTAATGTGTGAAATATCCCTTCTAAACTGCACATAAACATACATGAATAATATGTGCATCAATGCATGTCACTGATTTACGTTGACACATGACAGCATGCAAAAATGTGGTATGTAACACATATCTACTGTGTTATGGAATTGGCCCTGGCCAGCTTGACAGAAGTAGATTTAAAAATCAATTGAGCCGGCTGGAAGATTATCAGCTGAACATCATCTTATCAGATGCAGTCACAGTTTGGGTATTCAGGCAGTTGGGGATGTCGTGGCTGCTGAATACAATAACCAGCAGCAGAGATTCCTCCGTCCGTGCGTCTTTCGCATGGATGGGGTAATTCAATTGGTCAGCGGGCTGAATGAGAGCAATCTAACCATGTATGGCTAGCCTTAAGCTGGCCAGCCACAGCTCAAATTCTGGCCAATTCCTGCTGAATCGGCCAAAATTCAGATTTGGCACCATCCACCTTGATAAAATTCGATTTTTCAATCTACACAAAGGAGCCTGGTGGAAAGTTATTAGCCAAGCAGAGATCTCATCCAGTCAGACAGGCCTGGAGCCAGGATAAAGAAAAAAATGAGCGGAAGGCCTACATGACAAGGGTGTAAAGGGGAACCAGGCTAGGAAGGGTGAAAGAAAGGTAGAGAAGTAAGGAAGGAGAGGGACATTACCCGATTGGGCGAAAAGGTCGGCCAGGAGGGGCTTTGGAGGGTGGACTGAGAGGAGGAGTCACACAGATCCAGTCGGAGATTGACAGATGAGAGAGTTTCCCTCCCACCAAGTTGAATTGGTTTGTAGCAAGTCACGGCAGTGATTGGCGGTTTGGATCCTTGAAGGCATTTTGTCTGCTGGGAGTTATCAATAAATAATGGGAGAACCATCTTTGGTGTGGGTGTCCTCCATGTGGTGAGGTCCTCCGGTTGCAACCAGGTAGCAGGGACCGGCATGGGTCTGCGGTCAATTAATATCCTCCCCAAGGCGGTGTATTTAGGCTGGGGGCATCAGGTACAAAATGTGGCCGCGGGTGCAAAGTTTTGTTTATGATTCATAATGCCTTCAAGGACCTGAAACCTGATATTTTATACAGTCTGGTTATTGTTTGTTACGGTTTTACAATGACTAGGGATGCACCGGTACCGGTTTTTCAGCATCGAGTACGAGTACCGATATTTTTTTTATGTATCCCCGATAAGGAATACCGATACCGTAAGTCCCATTAGCGAAGCCAGGCGGCATGTAATGACTCACCACCTGGCTTCCCTATTAGCCAGGCCACGTGTAAAGACTCACCATCTGGCTTCCTGATTAGCAGGGAAGCGGTCTCCATGCTCCCTCGTGAACAAGTGACAAGGGATGCATGGAGCCGGCTTTCTGGCCAATCAGGAAGCCGGGCGCCTTGTAATGACTCATTGCCCGGCTTCCTGATTGGTTTGAGAAGCTGGCCAATCAGTAAGCCGGGCAACGAGTCATTACACGATAGCTGGCTTCCCGATTGGCCAGGAAGCCTGCTCTATGCTCCCCCATCACCAGGTGACCAATCAGGAAGCGAGACGGCGAGTCATTACACATTCCCCGTTTCCTGATTGGCCAGGGAGGCGGCTCCATGCTCCCTCATCACCAAGTGACAAGGGAGCATGTCAATGTCATGCCAATCAGGAAGCCAGGCAGCGTGTAATGACTCGGTGCCCGGCTTCCTAATACCAGAAGCTCAGATATTAGGCTAGGCATCCGAGCATTTGGGCGAGTACGAGTACTCGCCCAAATACTTGGCATCGGCACCAATAACGATACTAGTATCGGTATCCGTGCATCCCTAATAATTACGTTATTTATAATGGTTTTGTTGATAAAAGGCTGCTGTGGCCATTGTACTCCACCCCAGGTGTGTTTTTATCATTTAGAGCAGAGTGAGGATTTGGGTTTGATGTTTGTAACGGGTGCTGAAGGGGACAATGAGGACCTCTAAACTACCTTAGTCAAGATGCAGGCCATATTCGGTTATTCAGCAGCAACGAAAGCAACGAATGCTACATACAATAGCTAGCAGTGGGGACTCCTCTACCCATGTGGTTTAGCATGGATAGGGAAACCTAATGAGCCTTGGGGGGCTGAACGGGGGAAATCTAACAATACGTAGAAACCTTTAGAGTTCCATGTACCATTTTACATAACTCCGAACCTTCTGAGATGAGAGAGAGGGACACTTTCCAGGACAATGAGGGGAATTTATCAAAACTGGAGCAGACAAAATCTGGAGCAGCTATGCATGGCAACCAATTCAGAGCTTCTCTCTTCAGTTTGTTGAATTAAGATTTGAAAATGAAAGAGAGAAGCTGATTGGTTGCCATGCACACCTGCTCCAGATTTTGTCAGTTCCAGTTTTGATGAATGCCCCTCAATGTATTTAGGCAATAGACACTCCTCTGCCACGCCCTGAGTTATATATAGACAATGGATAATTTATATGCCAAAAATAAGATAAGATAAAGGATTTAATGCAGTATAACACTTCAGGTAGTTAAACAGTTTCTTTTCATAGATATCTGTACATCTAACAAAAAAGAGGGACAACTGAGAAGGTAAGAGGAACAGATTTGGTTAAAAATGAGGGACATTTGGAAGGTATGCATTTTACAGCCTTGCTGAAGAAGTCTAGTGCTATTTATTGAGTCAATAAGCTTTTATTGTCATTGTTTACAATATCTACATTCCATTGTTATTCTCCAGATAAACAAAACCTTCTTTCTCCCAAGAGATCCCATCCCAGCTATAAGGTTGCCTCTTCTTCTGTGACGAAATACTAACACGATGATCTTTATCTTATTAATAATGTTGGAAATTTTTAACCCTAACTAGCAGAAGAAGTCTTTTGGGGCTCAACGAACACCAATCTATGCATGAGAAAGCAGACAAGGAAAAGCTATGTGCAGCACAGCAACAATGCACCTGTCCATCCTGCTACGTCACATAGAGGACCTGGAATGCTGCTATACCCTTCCCATTATGAGCACTTCCTGTGTTACACAGAGGATTTACAAATACACAGCTATAAATATAACAATAGAACATGCTGTGCATCTGCATACATTTACATATATCTTTTATGTATCATAACTGAAATGATATACATGTAAATAAGCTGATTCCTATCCTGACCTTAAATCATGCTTGTCCTATGTTGGCCCAACCCACAGCCTGGTGGTCTATATAATCCTAAGCACAGCCTACCTTCAAATGGCTGGTATTCCACTGAAGACTGTTTTTCTTCCAGCTGTCAGGGAAGGTTAATAATAAACCCGATGAAAGGACAGCCTTCCCAGCAATGAGTCCTGTGTTGAGCTCTCAGCCTGCTCTCATCACACTGGGGAAGGAGGGAGGGAGGGACTGTATACAGCATGTACTCAGCAATCACAGCCTTCCAGATTTCTTCCTATTTAGCACAACGTCTCTACAGATTGTATTATATGTCGAGCACAATAAAAGAGTACTGTAAAGCTGCATTCGTAATGATCTTTCCTTGTATCATTAAATATTGTTGCAATGACACCTGCTTTTATGGATTCATTACAATTATGCTTTTGATTAGCAGTGGAAGTACCAGTTACTGGATGGCTACTTACAGAAGAGGGCAGTTAAAGCGTATCTAAACCCAATATAATATATTGCAGCTTACCAATTCTTAAATGTGATGGCTGCATTGTTGTTGTTTTTTTAGGCTTTGTTTTTCTTTATTTTCAACTGGTGATCCAGCCAGTAGCACACTTCTTGTCTTAAGCTGGCCATACACCTATAGATTATCTGCAGATTTTCTATGGTCAGATGGAAAAAGTGCAACAGATTCCTCCATCTACACTGTTGCACTGTTTCCACCTGAGCATAGAAAATCTGCAGATAATCTATAGGCGTATGCCCAGCTTTAGAGAGATTTTCTATGGTCAGGTGGAAAAAGTGCAACAGATTCCTCCATCTATGCTAAACTGTGTGGATGGAGGAATCTCCCACTGGGCCAAGCTGTGTGTCTTGCTAGTCGGTCCCGATGGCTCTCAAAATACCTGAACCATGCCTGCATCCAATCAGATTGTTCAGGTATTTTGACAGCCAGCGGGGCTGACTAGCAAGATACTGAAGCTTGGCCCAGTGCGAGATTCCTCCATCCACACAGTTTAGCATAGATGGAGGAATCTGTTGCACTTTTTCCACCTGACCATAGAAAATCTGCAGCTAATCTATAGGCGTATGCCCAGCTTTAGAGTGGTTCCAACAATGGAGCAACCCTAGGACAGCAGCATTGTTACCCTGTGAAAAGGGTAGTGTCAGATGCACTAGCATATTTAGGTGGACTTGACTGACACTGCAGAGTCCAGCAACCACTTTTTAAGCAGTAACATCAACTGTTTTTTTTTTCCTCTTTGGGATAAAGGTTTTATTTAAAAAAAATTAAAGCTGGCCATTGTAAGCACCCCTGTCAACATTAAACAGTTTGTCTCAACCCTCTAACAGCCACTTTTGCTGGACAGCTTGGTCTGTTAAAGGAAGTTGGAAAAAAACAGACTTACTTGCTGGATCACCAGGTGAAAATAAACGAGAAAAAAAAAAAGCCTAAAACAAGAATGAAATAGGCCTAAAAAAATAAATAAACATATGCAGCCACCACATTTAAGGATTGGTAAGCTGCAATACATTACATTTTACTTTTAGGTTTACATACCCTTTAAAAAGAGAACTATGGGGTAAGTGTTTTTCCACATAGTTCTCTATGGTATGCAAAAAATTAAAAACCTGCAATTATCTAGAAATATCTCTTTGTAGATTGTTATTACTAAACATTTCTAAAGGTGCCTTTGTTGTTATTTTGAATGTATAGGTAAAATTCCTCTTTAAGCACCCTTTCCACACTTCCAGGTTGCTCAAAGGACACAAGAAAATGTTTATAATAGATGTCGTGGTTATTGTGCAATTGATGTTTACTAACTAACCAAAGTCCAGGCAGATAACTATTTGCCAAGTCAAGGCTGGGCTGTGCACTGTCAGTCTACAATGACACCTCTTTGCCAACAATTGACACAGATTGGTGGCCTTACTGAATAAAGCAGTATAAGAACAACTTTGCTGTGCAGGGGATTATAAGAGGGACTGGCCTGGATTAAAGGTAGTATTTTAGTAGCCAAGCATTGGGTTTTAAAATACAATTAAAGATGGGCGGCCTTACTGAATTAAGCAGTATAAGAACAACTTCACCATACCGATACCAAGTATGTTCATGGACCGAACGCCCGACAGTATCAAGAGAGAGAAGGGGACCCAGTGGCATACCTTATCCCGCCGGGTGACTGTCCCCTCCTCTCTCTGCCGGCGTCCATCACCAAGATGGCCGCCGGCAGGTATCAGAAGAGCACCACGCTTGCGCGATGACGTCATCGTGCATGCGCAGTGACGTCTCGGAGGGTTGACACTCGGTAACCGCTCCGGGTGTCACCCAGCCTTGGGACGTCCCTGGTGGGGGGGTAACAATATTCAGTATCGGTGAGTACCGAAAGATAAATATCGGTACTCATATTCGATACCAAAACACCAGTATCAGTGCATCCTTAATAATAATATATTTTTAGAGGTGCACCGAAATGAAAATTTCAAAACCGAAACGAAATCGAAATGAAAAAAATGTCAGGCCGAAACCGAATTTAGTTTTTTCTAACCTTTTCAAATTTAAAAAACTAATTTACTAAATATTTTTATACTTTACTTTTCGGGCTTCAGGGAAATATTAGGGATCTAAACAGACCCCTGATATTTCCCTTTTAAAATAGAAAAAGAGATTGAGAACACAGAGTCTTCAATCTCTTTTTTCTGTATCCCCAGTTATAAATGAACAGGAATCCCCTATACTGAGTGTTCCTGTTCATTCATAACTTGTGGAGATAGTATGTTTACCATGTCGCCAATCATGAATGAACAGGAAGTGATGTAGATCACTTCCCATTCATTCATAATTGGGGACACAGTAAACATACTATGTCCTCAATTATTTACAAACACTCAGCGATCACTGATCGCTGAGTGCTTGTACCCGCTCTCCATCCTGGATCAACTGTCACAGGAGGCTATGCGAGCAGTGCGGGGAGGAGATCTTGATCTCGTCTGACAGCTGACTCCTCCCCCACACCGCCGGCCCAGCCTCCTGTGACAGCTGACAGCCTTCACTGCCCCCACAACGATGCTCTCCTGATCTGTCACAGGAGACGCACTGGGGTCCCAGCGTGCATTTTTGGTTGCTGGGCCTCCAGTGCATCCCTGCACCTTACTAGGAGGAGTTGGCTACCTCCTGGTACACCTGCATGTAATTTATCGACTGCATTAATATGCTCACACTTGGAGACTCACATACATAGAGTTAGGACCACACCTTGCAGAAGTGCCTAGGCACGGCAGTGTGGCTTCTACATATTTTTGGCCAAAAGTTTGTGCAACTAAAACCTCTGATTTTAACGCATACTGTTGACAGGGCAATTTGTTTGGTTGCAGGCTAGCTGGCAGGTGAGCTGGGGATTTTCTGTGTTTTGTTCTGTCACAGGAGAGCATCACAGGAGGCTGGTTGGGGCATTGTGGGAGGGCAGTTTTAGGACGGTTCCTTTTCCTTGCAGGGTACTATGGACCCTTTTATGATCACTATGGTTCTTTTAAGCTTTATTAGCTAATCCATTCTTTAATAAATATATGTATAGATATAAAAAATAACCATAATGACCTTTTTAAATTCAACTTAGTTCTATTTAAAGGGAACCTGAGCAGAATGTCTTTTGCTGATTGGGTTATAAAGATGCACGCTCAGTAGCTGTCATCCTAATCTCAGCTTCACTATCCTGTGAGTTGCTAAAGAAAAGCAAATGTGGCAAAGACTCACTATATAGTAAGGTCAGGATCCTTAGGACAGCCCCAAATCCTGTGCATGAAAAAATAAACAGTGACAGCTTCCCTCTTTATGTCTTTATAGGTTTATTATAAGGAATTTCTGAAAAAGTGTGCCCAGATAGAAAGATATAGATAGAAAAAAAGGACTGAGAGGGTTTTTTACCATCTCTGCTCAAAATTAAAAACAAATTGGCTTTAGGTATTAACTTTTTAGGTATTAACTTTAACTTCTAACTCACTGGCCCCATTCCTTTTGACTACTGGAATTTTTTAGATCAAATTGGATTTTACGGACACATAAGCAATGATAACATTATTTTGAGGTCGCTAAACTTCCACACAATCCTTTTATTGAGACCTCGCTATTACCCTGGGGGAGTAGGAGTTTTCTTTATGTTTTACTGATTTTTAAAAACTTTTTAATTACTTATATTTTTTTGTTTAAAACAATGCTAAATAATTATATTGTGCTGCTATGGAGCACTGTAGTAGACATGTAAGACTAGGAGATTATTATTTTAGCTGCTGGGCTTAAGCTGGCCATACACTATTAGATTTTCTTCATTCAGTCCACAGGCAAAAATTTTACATTTCTCCATCCACTCTAAACAGCAATCTCCCACTGCGGCTATTGTATTTCGACAGCTGACATGCACTGTAATGCTGAAGCACAACTGTCAGTGACAGCGTATGGTTCCTGCACTGAACCCCACCAAAACCCACAGGACCAAATGTTATAAAACAGTGTTAGGATGAATAGCCACTGAACCAGTGCCATTTTAAAACTGCACCAGGGACTCAACATCACACGTCCTATTAGTAACATGTCCTGTGCACTCACTGCTGCATGTTCACCATAGCACACATTCACCACACACCCAAAGCACAGCAAAGATGGATTTTAATTACATCTAACAACTTAACTTACATTCGCCCTCTGCGCCCGCCACCAGGAACAAAATATAACATGTGCAGGGCCAATGCATGCAATTCTTGGCAACTGAAAGTACCTGCACACACATTCTCTTTCTAATTTGCACAAGAAAACATAAGATGTAAGAAATGCATATTTAACACAATGTTGCTATCCTACATTCTGCATATGTATAGGACATGTTAGTCTTGATCATGAGGGGAAAAAAGTAAAATCAGCATAATAACCATGTACCAGATCAATGTCTCTGTCTGTCTCTCATTCCCTCTACCTCGTTCTCTTTTTCTCTGTCTCTTGACTTACAGCGCCTCTAGTTACTGAAACCACCACTTTATAATTACACGTGCTTCTATAAAAATATGAATCACAGCAG